CTCATATGAAATCGTGTTTAAATGATTCTTGAACTGTAATTATATGAACAACAATACTTTTAAAGATAATTTTTTAATATTTTTTTCGTAAGGCTTGATTATATTTTACCATTTTGGAGGGGACTCCATTTGGAGGGAGAGCCCGAAAGCTCTCCCCTCCCCTTGTATAACTTTGTAAAAATAAGTTTAATCTAGTGTTACCAACATGTCATTAATTTTTCTTTAAAAAAAAAAAAATCAAAGAAGACAATAACAATGATATTTAATCTAACTATATATATATATATATATATATATAATAATAATAATAATAATAATTTATATTAAAAACGAATTCCTACAAGTAGCCGTGATTATAGGGAAAATAAGAGACCGCCAATTTGACAGTGGAAAATTCCACAGAACTTTCTACCTTGCTTCTCAAAGCCTACTGTATTTTAATTTTAAAATTTTTCTTGGAAAATTATGCTATGTGGCCTTCATTTTTATTAACAAAAGTAGTTCGATATAAATATTTTGTAATTACTTAGATGAGGACTGTACGGGTTACAATTGGCTCACAATCAATTAGATCACACTTGTTCATGGAGTGCCGAATGCATTCAGGTTTATCTGAGACCGTTTACGTCACTTCATGAACAAGTGTGACTGAATCGATTGTGAACCACACTTAATCCGTGCGGTCCTCATCTAAATAATTACCATATTATATATAGTAACAGAAATCTTTATTATTATTTTTAAAACTACAATTTATTACAAAATAAATTACAACTTTCAAAATAATCATTCATACTTACAATTAATAATTGAATATTTACGATTTGCAACAGGCAACAGTAAAACTGAGACATAGGCGGGAACTAGTGACATCATCCCCGCGAGCTCTAAAGCGAACCTTGCACGGTCAGTCATGAATGACAGTCAAATCATCAATGATGACGATCCTTACACGTATCAATCGGACTGACATTTTAGTTCAATTGATGTGGAGATAACAGGCAGTATGGATCTGGTGCATTGTCCATTAATAATAATGTTTTTAATTAAAGAAGCTTATTTCGCCGTTATCCTTTTTAGAATTGGACATCAAGAGAAAAATGGAGGTAAAATAATTACTTCTAGTGCCTGAAAATTGTTTTGATAATAGCCAGAAAAATATAAGTCAACTACTTATAAAAATTAAGGAAAAGTATTGCGAAAATAATACATTTCTTGACAAAAATGGAAAAAGAACTGACAAATATTTACAAAATTTAAAAATTATTTTTTCTATAAGTAAATTGTGAAGTTTTTTTAAACTTTTTTTTTTTAAATTATTGCCCACTTGATTATTTAAGGAATAATTAGTTGAAGATCGTTTACTAGAAATATAAAGTAGGGATATGAAAACTATTTACTTTTAATGAATATCAGGAATATACAATGGTTATAAGGCCTATATATATATATATATATATATATATATATATAGGCCTATATATATAAACATGTATGCGAAAACTGGTGGCTTGTGGCTAAGGATAGATACAGATGGAAACAAGTTTTAAACGATATTTAGTTGCTGTGTTTTGTTTTGTTGTATTCTGTTTGTCTTTTTATTAACCTAGTGCTTTCAAGACTGTTTACTGTGTGGCTTTGTTTTGTTTTTCTTAGGCCTTACATGGCTATTTAAAAAAATATATGTATATCTGTTTTGTTTTATTTTAAACATTAAAAAAAAAAGGATTGTAATAATTTAAACATATTGTTCTGTGCTGTAGTCAACTCCTTTGAAATTCCTCCTTAGGAAGAGGCTTTTGTCAATAACTGATATCAATAAAGCTTATTATTATTATTATTATATTCACTCTGAATCAAATAAGATAAAAGTAGGTACGTAGAATTGTTAGGACTAGGCTGAACAATAGCATACAATTTTGTTTTAATTGAAGCATGTCCAAGCTGTATTTTTTTTTTCGGCTTGGTGTTTCTCTATAGTCTCTAAAATTTGGTCAGAAGTTTAAAATTTTGATAAGGGAAATATTATCTTGTTTGCCTCACTATTCATTTTTAAATTACATTCCTTTTTTTAATTATATCTATTTATAATTATTATTATTTTTGTATTTAAAAATACAAATTCTACACTTCACTCCAGCCCCTATAAATTGAGTTAGAGGTTTGAAAACCTTTAATTTGAATTGGGTTAATGTTGGACAAGTACGTTTCAGTGGTTTTAACATTTTCCCACCTCCGGTAATGTTTTACGCAACTTGACAACCCGTATAGATCGGAGAAAAGTTTTTATAAATTAAATTAAGAAAAATAATTTAAAAATGGTGATGAAGGAAGAATTCATTTAAAATTTTAATCAACTGAAAAGTGAGCATTAAGAAATCATATTTTCATGTTTTTTATATTAGTAAAAAATATGAGACCTTAGTGATGGAGGTAACTTTTTACTTTATTTTTTTCTTTTGGAGAAAAAAATTCATATAATATATAATAATAGCTTTTAGTATAATACCAAACATATGAATACGTGTGAGAGTTAAATATAGGATGCAGGATAAAAAATAAATAACAATATTGTAAAATATGCATATTTATGTAGTTTCATTTTTTTTTTAATAGATATATTTATAACTAAAGCTAAAAATAATTTACAGCATTTTGTCCAATAAAATAATATCATTAAAATAACATCCATTATTATAGCTTGCTGTGCGAGATTTTTCCTAACTAAGGATACTAAACCACTCTAACAAAAAATATCAGGTTTTACATACAGGCTTCAAAGATCAGTTTAAAAAAAAATAATTTTTGACATACTAATAATTAAAAACAAAAAGTAAAATATAATTCATACAAGAAATTATATCACGTGTTCTTTACACATATATTATAGATATATGTAAAATATTTTCACAATAAATTACTCTAGTGAGTTGCAATCTATCAAATTACGAATGAATTACACAGTAGCGTATATTTTAATTATATACAATACGAGAAACTATAAAAAAAAAAATAATAATAAAATAAAGAAAATTAAACTGTACAAGAAATAAACCATCTCAGTGTAACATAACATTTACATATGACTATACCAATATTCTCAAAACAACAATTAAAGTACATACAAATTTACAAAAAATATTTATACCGAGGTGGGAATGAAAGCACGTTAATTTTGATTCATAACTTTATGCAATAATTTTAATAATTATTCAAAAATTTTACGCAAATCTTTATGAATTCATGTATAAACAGTATCCATCTTTTACAATTTTGAAAAAAAAAATATCAAGATAATTAATCACAAACATATTGTAATACAGGCAAGAAAGATTCAGAATGTGCAATTATATCTAATGTTTAATACTTACAGTAAAATATGGTTATAGCTTAATTATTATTTATAATATTTTATAATTAGTTTCACTATAATTATATACAATTTAATCCTTATATACTATATACAATCGATATGTATTTTTAATTTTACTACTATTTCACATTATATTAATTTAATTATATAATTCAGCTGCAGAGAGATATCCGGTTTATTATAGTAATATATTTTTATAACAGCTTTATTAAAGAAAATCATTTTTTAAAAATTAATATATTCATAGCTTAATGCAAGAAAAATTCGTGTTATTATATAAGGAGTATTTTGAAAAATCAAAAATAAACTTATTATTTATAAGTATAATGCAAAAAAATTTCAATAATACATGGTTATCAAAGCAATACTTTTTTTTTTTAGTTCTTGCATTAAAGTAAAAATATATTGTTTGTATTAACACAATAAATACATAACCGAAATAAAGATGTAAATAATTAATTTCACAATATCCATACTAGGTTGTTTGTATTTTAATCCAAATATGATTTAAAATATTTAAAGAATTTAATAAGGAGAATATTTTTTAAATAAAATATTAAATTATTAATTAGTTTATTTTTATTTTAGATCTTAAAACAATATCCTCAAATCTCTCAAGAATTAACTAACTTATTATTTTACTTATTGTTATTTGAATGTAGTTAGCTAGACATTTCTTTTTTATAATTATTATAATATTTAATTTAAAAAAAAAATGTAAATTATTCTTTTTTGCCTTTAATTTTCCCCCGGATTAATGTAAAATAAAAGAAAAAAAATATTACTGATAGTGTTAAATGATTTCAAAAGAATCAGAAATTCCAAATTCAAAAACCAATTCCACTCAAGTAGGCGAGGATATTTTTGTCATACAAAAATAAGTTAGATTAGCTTGTAGCCTCTTTTAAATACGACTTTATATGGATATACAAATATGTAAATTTTTCCACAGACACCCAATAATTAGTCTAAAAGCAAGATGTTGCTCTAGATGTTATATACCTAAATTTATTATAACATGAATTAGAAACTGACAATGGAACACATTATTTTTAAGCCTTGTATCCACAAGATCATTGGGATTGTGGTTCTGAAGATGGGAGTAAATATCCCGAAACGTAAACGTGTAAACATGCAATTTTGATAATACAACAAATATATTTAATTGTTGCTAATTGACTAAGAATATCCCGGAAAAAAAAAATAAAAAATATAAATTTTAAATAATTTAAAAAAATATGATATAATAACAATATTGTGAGCTGCTATTTGGCCAAGTATTTGAGTCGTGTTCTTGCTATTTTTACTCTGAATTATCAAAAGATTGATTGCTGAGTTATTTGAGAGACTTAAGGGTTTGTTTCAAGTACACATAGATTAATCTTAACAAGATTAGTGTTTTAAACATACTATTTTTTATTTATACTGTTGAAATTTCGGTATAACGATTTGTAGTAAAAATAAAAATAATAAAAGATACATATTTACAATAATAAAGTTAGTTAACATTATATTAAGGAGAGCATTCCTCGATAAGTATGTATGACACTATGCGGGCAGGAACCTCACCACCGATAGGAACCTGGTTTTGTGTATATATGTATATATATGTATATATGTATACAGCTCAGCAGATTGGACTGGCTATGGTCTGGTATTGGGAGGGAGGCCAGGGGGGCTCTGAGGGGTACAGCCCCTTCCCGAGGGCCTCGGCCTGGAGGGACATCATGAGTCTGTTAGCGGCCTGTCGCTCCGCCTCTCTTTCCTCCGCTGTCTGTCGTCTGCAACACAAACAATAATAATTAATACATAATATTACTATTTTTCTTATACTTAATTATAAGTAAATTACACAATATTAATAATAAAAAGCTTAGCGAGCCCGAAGGTTCGAAGCCGACACCACCAATTGCTGTCTTCACTCTTCCATCTACCAGCCGCCGCACAATGGCCGCGACATAGGACATTTGGTGGACATAGGACCAATATCTGAAATTTCGAATTTTCCCATATTTTTTGGGTTAAGCTGTTCTTCTTGATTTCTATTATCATTGTCCATCGTCAGTTTTTTTTTAAATTAAAAATTTTCAGCTAAGATATCTTATTAAACGACCGCCCATGGAAAATGTCCTTTTTTTAAGAAAAGTACCACAGCTATTTTGAAGAACCAAAATTAATGAATCATCTTTATTATGATAATTTAACTTTATTAGTTGTTGGAAAATTGGGTAAATCGAAGGAAAAATAGACCGTCAAAATTATTGGAAATAAAAACAGACTGCAACAAGTGGGCTACTAGCACACAGAAGAGAAGAAACCATATTGTGTAGAATAAGAATTGGTCACTGCCTGTTTACTCACGGATACCTTCTCAGAGGACTGGAACCACCCACGTGTCAAAAGTGTGACAATAAACCACAGTCAGTAAAACACCTGTTAGTAGAGTGCAACGAATTCAACAACATTCGGCAAAAATTGAAACTACCATTGACAATGAAAGAAATATTAAGAGACAACGAAGAAGGAGTCACCACCCTATTCCGGTACTTAATGGAGACGAATTATTACAATAGAATATAGAAAACTAGCCGCCAATGACCCTCTAGGGTAGAGGCGATTACAAATAAAAAAAAAAAAAAAACTTTATTAACATAATTTATGTTTATGAAGCTTGAACTTTTTTTTAGATTCTTAAAGTTTTTTTTAATGAAAAACATGAAAAAAATTTAAAACATTCATAACAAAAATCGCTCAGAAATCTACCTCCACAGAAATTAACTAGAGAATTTATAGTTTACTTTCCATTAATAATTACATGCGAGTTCGTGCCGGTTTATGAGGAAAAAAAAGCTATTTATTTTTTTTTTCCTTTCTGAGCAAACCATATAGTTTCAAAGATTATGAATGGCCATATGGACAATCGATTCACGATTTTGGACTCGAAAATATTCCTAAGAAAAAGGAGTTCTATGTGCAGTTGTTTTGTGGAAATTTGTGTTTGTGTTGGATAAAATTGAATAGGAATCTATCTGACTTTTTAAGAGGTAACAAAAATATAAATAAAATCAAAAAGTATATTTAGTATTAATTTTGCAGATGTTTCGGCTCAAAGTTCAGGCCTACATCAAGACTAGTCAAACAAAATATTTTCGCAAGACGGATGAATGAAAGAGGTCTTGCGGAAATCTTTTGTTTGACCAGCCCTGAAGAAGGCTTGAACTTTGGGCCGCAACGTCGGCAAACATAAAAATACTTATTTATTTTTCAATGAATATCATTAAAGTTGTCGCAGGCATTTAAGGGTCGAAATTCACTTTCATCACTTGTATACAAAATTTCATTCGTCAAAATCTATCACTCTTACTGAATTCTATATTTTCACAGTTTTCTACTTACTGAATGACTAAATCAAGTCTAATAAAACATTTGTCGTGTTTGAGACTTTTAAGCTCAGATAAATATATAATATCCACACGGAAGCGGACATAGCTCTCTATTGGTTTTTTCCAGAATGTCAATCCATTAGACGTCAATCGGCCGAAGAGTAACAGGAACAATCTTAGTGGAAAGGAGGAAAGATGGTCGGAATGTTCAGTTGTCTGTTGTTAATTATTAAAGCCAATAGGGAGCAGAGGAAGAACAATTGGTAGAGAGGTGGGGAGGGGGGAGGAAGAGGAGGGATAAAGGAGGGAGGCAAAGCCACTGCTAAATAAATAAAAGAAGGAAACTCGGAGGATGGGGCACGTCCTGAGGAGAAGACAGCATACAGGAGTAGCAGCGAGCAGCATCGGCAATGGCCCTCGATGGGCTAGTCCTTCTACGGCCAGCTTAATATAGAATGTCCTCCGGGTACACGTTCTGCAGGATAAAGGATATTTGAGGCAAAGATCGATTATATTCAGGATGTTATTCAACTCAAATAGTTGTTAGGTTGTTATTGAAACATCCAACTTCACAGCTTTATGTGTCTAAAATACAGGCACAAACGGATCCAGGATTTAATTTTGGGGGTGATTGATTTTTTTTTTCATGTATACATATATATATATATATATATATATATATATATATATATATATATATATATATATATCAATAATTAATTTTTTAGAAAAAGAAAGAAATTGACTACCGATATGAAATAGTGTTTAAGTGATTCTTGAAGTCGTATTAAATATAATTACACGAACAATAATATTTTAAGAGATAGGTCTTAATATTTTTTTCTTTAAAACATGGTTATATTTTATGTTTTTTTTGGGGGGGAGGGGGAGCTCCAGCCCGAAAGTCTCCTCCCGTAGATCCGTCTGTGAGTACATGTAAAAAACAAACTAAGCCGTCGTTTCAGAGATCGTCGTGAACGAAAAAACCAGATCACATAACTTCTTAGTCCGTGGTACAGACCTTTATATCAAATTATTAACATCCGCCCGAAACTTCGTAAATAGCTTCATCTCATCGTAACTTAAAAATATTTTATTTACGAAAATCCTCGAAATTGACGCGTTATCAATCTGGAGATCGGCAAACTTTGTTTATTTAATTGGGCACTAAAAACTCATGAATGCCGATTTTCTTTCCACTCAAATCGTAAGATAAAATTATCATTAAGTTAAAAAAAAAATTGGCCTTCAAAAATATTGGTCCATTTTGCGCGACCTCCACCCCCAAAATGTAAAAAATAACGAAGTTATTTCTGAATTTTCTGAATTTCTGAAGGCCACATTTTTTCTCGATTTTTTGATCATATTATCTTACGATTTAAGTGAAAAGCAAATGGGCATTCATGAGTTTTTGTTGCCTAATTAAATATACAAAGTTTGCCGATCTGCGGATTGAACGGTTTTTTAAAAGACTTTGTAATTAAGAAAAACTTCTAATCTATTTTTATTTTATATCTTTAATTTTAATTTGTTTATTAAGGTCGGGTTTATTCCATTTCATGCAGCATGTAGAGTTATAAATCCCTATTAATTTTCATGTGGATCGTTGAAGGCGTTCTAACGTTATCAAGTTCTAAAGTTATAAGTTTTGTGGCTGTTGACAAAAGAGTCCAACCTGGGCAAAAATTTTGTTAAGAAAAATTTAGTTCGAGGTGCGAAAAACTAATATCAACTTAACATGCTTGTATATATGGCTGTAAGCATGTTAAGTTCAAATATGCTAACACTAGCGACATCAGAAGAACTTTCTACAGTAACATATTACAAACAATGTATTACTACAAAAACATATCAACGTGTAAAACATACGAGTGCGTTTTCTATGACAGTGCTAAATAAAGCTTTACAAATTAATTGTAATATATAAGTTTTAATGGGCTCGATTAACATTGAAGCGAGGATGACTCTTTAACATTTCAAGCCCTGGACGGAGAAGTAAGACGTTAAGAGGAGCATTAAGATTGGATGGTAGTTAATGGGGGCGGAGTCAGGCCTGACAGCCGACCAATGAATATCTCAGAGAGAGCCTGGTCAGCGGCTGAGCCGGCCAATGAGGTGGCGACATGCCTAGTTAACACCCCCATCCCCTGCCTATCTAATCACTCTCTGTTAGTTTATTCAGCATTCGCAAGTCATCGACGTCCCGGGGAGTAGTTATCAATGTTTCACTCCAGTGAGCTAGTTTCGGACCCCTTTCCCACTTTCCTAACTGCTAAATAGATAATTATCTCAGGAACGTAAGAGTATAAGGAAAATCAAAATCAAAAATATAGTACGGCATCATACAATTTTCACTTACAACCTTTCTTTAAGCAGAAATTATTTTTTTATTAAAATAATTAAGCGTTAGAATATTGATATAATTATAAAAAATAAAATAATTGGTAAATGGTTGACTGTCGTGAATAATGGAGTGAAGAATAGTTGGGGTGATCAGTCAAATAAGAAGACAAAAATAAATGATACTATTTATTTTGATAAAATAAGTTTTGTCAAAATAAATATTATCATTTATTTTTGTCTTCTTATTTGACTGATCACCCCAACTATTCTTCTCTCCAAAAAATAAAATAAATTAACTACTGAAATAACTCTATTTCTCTTTTATGTTAATTTATTTCCATATCTGCATTTACATCTAACTAAATTGTAGGGGAAATTGGCGTATAGAAATATTTTAAATTGATATCGTAATGGGATCGTAATCAGATGCATAGGCGCAGGCAGACTTTCTATTTTGATTGAGGGGAGGGGAGGAAAAAAAAATGCAGTACTTTATATTATGTGTACAAAAAATTATTATTAAACGAAAAAACATAATATCGGATATTTAAAAAGAAAAAAAAAACATAGTTAAAAAGAGAGTTGTAGGATTTTTTTTTTATGTGTTTATTGATATACTTGAAAATATCTGAACGAAAAACATGGATATATTATAATTTGTATACATTAAACATGGGAGGGGAAAAAACCTCTATAACGTAGGTACGTTTCTCGAACTTTTTCAACTAAAAGTGAATAATGTTAAAAACAGAAAAATTCTTTTGATTTCTTACTTTGTACAACCTCAAAACAAAAATTAAAATTTTTCAAGATCTGACTAGTCATATAAAAATGTCTATAAAACATTTTCCATAAAATATATTTATACTTGTACTTATTAAATATATTTTTTCCAACTTTATTGAAGAAAATGTATTGTAAGAAAATCATGTGAAAATGGTTGTGTCCACATGAAAGATGAATGAATTAAAAAATCCAAGGGTGCCTCCAATTTTACTTTATCCAAGGATAAATGAAAATTTAAATAATAGAAATATCTAGGTCGTGATAAAATATTTATGCATCTACTTATAGGACTTAGCTTAGCCTGATAGTCAACTTTTCTTATTTTCTAAATCGATTTTAATTTATATATTTTATTCAATCATTATCATAATAGATTATTTTTTATCAATCATAATTTTTTTTTTAATTCAAATTATTGGGAGGAGAAACGATATTCTCGCTCCCTCAACATTTTG